TTAAATTAATTAATTGGTTTTTAATGTAGATAAGAGCTATTTGAGAAATGGATTTTTGGACAAGGTCATCAATTGGATTCCAGGAATGAAGGACATTCGTTTGAGGGATCTCCCAACTTTATTCCGAACCACAAATCTCGATGACACCATGCTTAACTTGTGCATGAACGTAACTGATGAAGTTCACAAGCCTCAGCAGTTATTCTTCTTACTTTTAATGCGTTGGAGCAAGATGTTTTGCGTGCTCTTTCATCTATGCGTAATATTCCACCTGTTTATACCATCGGCCCGATCGAATTACTTCTCAATCAGATACCGAAAGACCCTTCGAAGTTTGGTGGGTACAGTCTATGGAAAGAAGAAACTGAGTGCCTCCCATGGCTCGATTCCAAGGCACCAAACTCAGTTGTTTATGTGAATTTCGGCAGTATAACGGTCATGACACCGGAACAACTTGTGGAGTTTGGTTGGGGACTTGCAAATAGCAAGCTTCCATTCTTTTGGGTAATTAGGCCTGATTTGGTTATCGGTGAATCAGGGATTTTGTCACCTGATTTTTTTGCCGAAACAAAAGAAAAAGGCCTAATAGCAAGTTGGTGCCCACAAGAGCAAGTTCTAAACCATCCATCAGTTGGAGGGTTTTTAACACACAGTGGTTGGAATTCAACCATGGAGAGTTTGACTGCTGGCGTGCCTATGCTTTGTTGGCCATTTTTTTCTGACCAGCAAACTAACTGTTACTATACTTGCAATAAATGGGGGATTGGCATGGAGATTGATAACGATGTCAAGAGAGATGGAGTACGGAAGCTTATTAAAGAGTTGATGGAGGGAGAGAAGGGTAAGAAAATGAAAAATATGGCCATGGAGTGGAAGAAACTAGCAGAAGAGGCTACTGGTCCACTTGGTTCTTCATCCACAAACTTTGACAACCTAGTGAATAATGTTCTATTAAGGAACACTTAGATGTTATACATCAGAATAATTATCTAATTTTTCTGTGATTTAGTTTGTTGCTATGGTGTAAAAAAAAATGTTGCTTTGGTTGGTCTTAAGGCTGTTTGGTATTGCTATGATTTCTAAAAAAACTGATTCTGTTGTGCTGTGAGAATAAACAGTTGTAAAATAAAGTTGTTGAGTGTTTGGTAAACTTTTTTTTATTTGAAAAAGTACTTTTAACAACAACAAAAATGTGTCTAATTGTGTTGTGAGAACAAACGCTAATCTTTTCGAAAGCACAACTAAAACTAACACCTGAAGCCCCAAGAGAGCAATTTTCTTAGAAATATCACTTTTAAATCTTGTCTGCATAGAATGGAGATTGATTGGAGGAATAGAGAGAACAACTTGTAGTTGCTCATGATGGAATTCATGTACCACATATGCAGATTCATCATTATTTGTTAAGCCTGTTGGCAATTTTGTAGTAATTCTACTATACTATATGTTGATACCATTATCATCACAGGGTGTGCATCACAAGCTATCAATGAGGTTATTCACTCTCTCACTCAAGAATTTGATATTAAAGATTTGGGGACCACTTCATTATTTTCTAGGAATACAAACCTTGCATAAAAAGGATGGTTTGTTTCTGTCTCAGGATAAGTATGTCATATATTTACTTACCAAATCTGAGATGTTGATGTCTAAAACCTACACTACTCCATGTTTACCATACAATAGACTATTGAAGGATGATGGAAAGCCCTACAATAATCCTGCATTGTACAGAAGCTTGGTTGGTGCACTACGATACCTGACATTTACTAGACTAGACATTGCTTTTGCAGTGCATCAGGTCTGTCAATTTATACAGTGCCCTATGGAATCTCACTTTATGGCAGTAAAGAGAATTTTAAGATACTTAAAGGCTACTCAGGGTTGTGGCATTCATTATGTCAAGGATCATTGGATGTCATTGCATACAGTGATGCAGATTGGGCAGGTGACCTTAATGACAAGGAGGTCAATTACTGGCTTGGTTGTTTTCCTTGGTTCCAATCCAATTTCTTGGTCCTCAAAGAAACCAAACACTATCTCTTGCTCATCTACTAAAGTTGAATATAGAGCTCTGTCAACTACAGTTGCTGAAATCGACTGGATTAAACAACTATTGGTTTTCCTGCAAGTTCCTTTTTTTTGGTAAACCTCTTCTATTTTATGACAACTTATCAACTATAGCTCTCACTTGCAGTCCAATTCAGCATCAAAGAGCAAAACATATTGAGATCAATGTGCATTTTGTTTGAGAGGGAGTTGCCAAATAGCAAGTGCAGGTCCATTTTTTCTCTTCAAATAAGTAGTTTGTTGATATACTCATTAAAAGATTGTCTTCACCATTGTTTCAAACACACTATGCCAATCTCAAGCTCAGTTTCTCTACCCCTGAACTTGAGGAAGGATGTTAAAAGCATTAAGATACATTCGTTATAGATTTGATAAGTGTCAAGAGATTAAGAAAGTAGTTCAGTTTGTTAGAAGTGTAGCTTAGAGTGTAAACCATTATAGCTATGATATATATAGCTTGTAATGTACTATTGTAATTCATTAAGAAGATATCAATACATGCAGAAGATTTCTTCCTTTCTAAGCTTTCTCAATCCTTTCTTTCTCTTTATCTTTGCTCTTACTGTAAGTTCTTCAATGGTTAATATCATGAAGAAAGTTGAGGTTTCACCATAAAACCAATTGGCAATAAGGGGAATAGCCACCTTACTTGTAAGCACATGTAAGGTCCTCCTCTCATCAATGTAGGATTCATTCTCAACACGCCCCCTCACGTGTGGTAAATTTCAAGCCTAACGCGTGGACAACACAATAGGGTGAGACATGAAGCGCGTATGACCCTTTGGCTTCACACGTGGGATAACTTGACTCTGATACCATGAAGAAAGTTGAGGTTCCACCATATTAACACCAATTGGCAATATGGGTAGTAGCCCATCTTACTTATAAGCCCGTGCAAAGTCTCTCTTCTCATCAATGTGTGATTCATTCTCAACGCCACCAAATTTGTTTTTTTCCTGCAATTCTTTTTTCTTTTTTCTTTTTTTCTTTTCTTTCTTTTCTTTGTTTTCTTCCTCAAACTCATAACTAAACTAAATTAAGAAGAAAAATCAAATAAAGCATATAAGGCTCCATGATAAAAGTTACACCACAAACATTTTCAATTCCACTCGAACTGAAGGACGAAGTATATAGACAGATAAAAGTTCACCACATGATCAACAATTTCAACAAGAGAAGATAGCACAATATCACCATCTAAAAGAGTAGTAATTTTGGAAGAAAATGCCTACCATGAGCATAAACATTGAAAAAAGCAGCAAACCATTTAATATGAGCATGATTGCGCCAGAAAGCTTCTTACATACGAAGAGCATTAAATATAGCCGTCTTGCCTCAATTTCTTCATTAAACCTCTCTTGAGAGTTCTCAGTAGAATAATTAATATTTTGAATATTATGTGGTTTTTCCTTAACCATGGTGACGTTTTTATGGACATCACCACAAACACTATAATTCCAATCTCGAAGACAGCACTGAAGGGCCGTAAGCTTTAACAAAATAGCAAACATATATAAGACACGCATAAGCACTAGTTGATTGTCAGCACTTAGTCACCACATCAATAAAACTAGAATATAATGTCCACACATGGACTAAAACCGAAAAGGTCGAGGTCCCGAAGGTAGAGTAGCGGAAGCCGAAACAAGAAGACAGTTGTGATCAGATACAACTCTCGGCAAAGCAGAACAACTTTTGTGTTCAGTAAAATTAAAAAAGCACGAATACATATTTATGTTCGATGAAACTGAACAGGGCACACATCAATTGTGTTCTTAGACCACTACTGTTGCAGTGAGCATTGTCTCAGATGGTTTCATGAGCTTCTCAATCACAGCGGCTGAAGAGCTTGAACTTCCTATTGTGTTGTTCTTTCCTGCAGCTGCTTGTGGCTTCAAGAGATTCAAGCATTATCAGGCTTTCCCCGCAAAAGGATTTACAACACTAAAAGGTGGAGGGGAAGTGCAAGAAAATGAAGAACTCATTAGTGTATCTGATTTTTTATTTTTTAATTTAACTATACTCACTGTTTTTAATGCTGCAGATGAGAGTTATATGTCAAATGGCTACTTAGACACTGTCATAGATTGAATAACAGGAAGGCGGGAATGAAAGATATCCGTCTAAGGGACCTTCCAGCCTTTCTACGAACTCAAATCTGAATGACAGTGCGTTTTTCTTAACAAGTGAAGCAACTAAGAGAGCACATAAAGCTTCTGCGGTTGTAATTCATATTATCGAAGCCATTGGCCCTCTCCAGTTGCTTATCAATCAAATATAAGAAGACCTTTTGAAGTCTGGGATACAGCCTATGGAAAAAGGAAGCCTGATTGACTTCCATGGCTCGACACCAAGGTGCCAATTTCCTAAAAATGGGTGGTATGGCATGTATTTGACAGTTGTTTTGGCACCTTCACATGGCAAAACGGGTTGGTGAAAGTGCTCTAAAACGATTTAAACTCAAGTATTATTTCTTGAGCTGATCAAAATTAATATCGGCAACATTTCGATTAAATTTTCACTACACAATGAAAGATTAGCAACATATTAAAAACTATTTATATCAGTAACCATGACTGAAAATAGATCATTTTAAGCAAGAACACTTTGTTGTGCACATTTAAGTTTAGCCAAGTTAACTAGAGTACCGTATCCAGCCTCTACACTTAAATTTCAATTCCCTCTAACTTAGTGTAATTACCCTGTCGTTTGCTTTAAAACAAATCACTTTTGTGTAAAGTTTGTTAATTATTCTTTTATTACTTAGTAGGGTCTTAAATTAAAATCCCTATTTTGAATTGGAAAATTTTGTAAATATCACTTAAATACGGGACTTGGTCAAGAAAAAAAAAGCCGGGAAAATTAGCGAGAGAGGGAAAAGGAGGGCCAAAATCAAAATTTAACGAAAACCAAATACGAAGTCGAAGTGCCTCCTCGATTCCCAATACTACCTCACTGCTGCTGTGAGCGGAGTAATTCAGAGAGAGAGAGAGATGAAGACTGAAGCAAAACGCTTCGCCATCGAGATCGAAGACGACGACGAGTTCCTTTCTCAGGTAGCGGCGGCCGAGGCCGAAGCGCTCGCCTACAAGCGCCGTCGCATCAGCACCGTGCCCGCACAAAACGCCGCCGTTTCCTTCAGTTCCCACGCGAATAAAAAATTAGGAGCGGACCACGACGACGGCGGCCTCTACACCGCTGCTCTCAAGGGAAGTAATCGAGCACTCCCTGACACTCCCCGCGGTGGATTATCCAGAGGGAGGGTCAATGTCGGGGCGGCCGGAACGACGGCGTCTCCGCTGGTGGTGATACGTGCTTCAAGTGCGGGAAGCCGGGGCATTGGGCCCGCGATTGTGATGCCCCCAGCGGAGGAGGAGGCGGTGGTGGGTATTATGGTAATTTTGGTGGCGGCGACTCTTCGATTTCTGTTCCGGAGAAAAATTGCCCTTGTGGGTATGGAGCCTGCCTGGTCCTCACTGCAAATACTGAGAAGAATCCGGGTCGAAGGTTTTACAAATGCCCTCTGAGACAGGTTCAAAAACCCATATCCATTTCTTCTTTTATTTTTAATATTTTTTCTTGGATTTAAGAGAACAATGGAGGATATGGTTACTGATTTTGTATAATGTTACTAAATTTTGACAGGAAAATGGAGGCTGTAGTTTCTTTGAGTGGTGTGACAATGCTGCTTCTGGGCCAAATGCTACGGCTACTACTGGTAGCGCTACTAGAAGCCATAGCTATGCTGCATCTGATTCTTCGTTTCCAGCTCTAGAATGTCCCTGCGGTGGCGGTGTCTGCTTAATCTTAACTGCCAAAACATGGCAAAAATATCGGCAGCCAATTCTACCGTTGTCCTGCGAAGGAGGTACCTTTTAATTTGTTGAGCCTAATTCATTGATATGGGTACAGTTAGATAAATTATGTTGCAAATTTGCAATCTGTATTGTGTATGGTATGTGTTTGAGTTAATGTCGAAAGCAGAGTTTGTTTGAATTGAAATGAAGTAGGTTAATTGCTTCATTGTTTTGCTGGTTTAGGGAAGCTCTTGTGGGTTCTTCAAGTGGTGCAATGAGCATACTGCGGCAGCTGCTGGTGTTCCTGGTCGTGGTGCAAAGGTGCAATATGGTTTGAGCGAGGCAAACAACAAGGGGTATGTTGTAACTACTGGTTCTTCCTGCTTTAAGTGTGGAAAGGAAGGGCATTGGGCAAGAGATTGCCCAACAGTTCCTTCGTATAATGCTGCTCCAGCCGAAATGGGAGCACGGTCTGCTTCAGGGGGCTCTTGCTATAAGTGCGGCAAGCCAGGGCACTGGGCGCGCGACTGCCCTTCAGGTTAAGGTGCAATGTACTTCTGAAACACCACCATTTGCTGGAGTTTACTGTTTGTGTTGAAAGTTTGCAGGACTGGTTGTTTCTTGATGTGATAATTTAAGAAAGGATTAATCCAATCATGGTAAGCCTGTGTATAGTTTTGAGAAGTTTGTGGAACGAGTGTTTAGAAATTGAGGACATGTTGTTTGCCCATCGTTTCGTTTCGCAATTGAAATTACTTAGTTTGATTTCCCGCATTGAAGAGTTTATAGTTTATGCCAGTAATGTGATGTGATGAATGCTGGCAATTGAATGGTAGTTGAGGTCCTATTTTTTAATTTGACTGGGAAACTTGTGGAACATGTGAATAGAACATGAGGATATGCTGTTCGGCCATCGTTTCATTTCTCAATAGAAATTACACATTTCAATTCAGAGTTGGGTGGAAAAAGCTCCGTTCCTGGCTCTCCTGTAGCTAGATCCTCAGAAACCAATCCTTTGTTATAATGGGATTCCATATAAGTGAATGCTCAGTGAGCTGAAATTTTTCTGGTTTTTAGTCCATTGAGGTGAAGATCCTTGGTAAGACTGATTGGTTTGATATGTTCAACGACAGTAAATTCACACCCATGCCTTTAGTTAGAGATGTAGTTTTGGGGTAATTGTCTCTTCACATTTTCTGTACTCTTTCCGCGTGTTTCTTCCACAAGCGCCGCCTTAGTAATGAAAATGTTTTCAGCCTGTGCATGTAATCTCTAACCCTAGTATGGCCTTTCAAATAAAAGTACAGAAGAAAGATCAACCTCGCCGTCCATTATTTATTGGACTCGCTGACATTTAACGCCGCAAAATGGTCGATTGCCTATAAAGCTCGGACTGCTTGCATTTGTGAGAATGCAAATAGAAGATGAGTTCCATAGCAGTAGGTGATAAGCCTCACGCCGTATGTATTCCGGTTCCATTTCAAAGCCATATCAAGGCAATGCTGAAATTAGCAAAACTCCTCCACCATAGAGGCTTTCACATAACCTTTGTCAACACAGAGTTCAATCACAAGCGCTTTCTTAAATCTCTCGGACCCAACTCTCTTGATGGCTTGCCTGATTTTCGGTTTGAAACAATTCCTGATAGCCTTCCAGATTCAGATGAAGACTCCGCCCAAGACCCCTATTTGCTTTGTGATTCTATCAGAACAAATTTTTTGGCTCCGTTTCGTAGCCTTATAATAAAACTTAATGACATGGTAGCTTCCAGCAATGTTAGTCCTCCAGTGTCTTGCATTGTTTCAGACGGCCTCATGACGTTTACTATCACGGCTGCTGAAGAATTTAGACTCCCTATCACGCTGTTTTTTACTTTAGCTGCATCTGCATGCAGCTTAATGGGATCTGAACACTATTCTGCTTTGGTAGAAAGAGGATTTGCACCACTAAAAGGTGAAAATATTTAAGAATTTATTATATTTTAATGATTTATTGCTTGTTTCTAAATATGACATGATTGATTGGGTGTTGTAGATGAAAGCTGTTTGAAGGATGACATTCTGGACAAGGTAATAGATTGGATTCCGGGAATGAACGGTGTACGCTTAAGGGCTCTCCCCTACTGGGATAGTGACATCTTCCTTAACTTCACCGTTGAAGCAGTGGACAGAGCTCATAAAGCTTCAGCTGTTGTTTTTCACACTTTTGATGCCTTGGAGCAAGATGTTATGGATGCTCTCTCATCTATGCTTCCGTTTGTTTACGCCATTGGCCCTCTCCAACTACTTCTCAATCAGATACCAGAACACCCTTTGAAGCCTGTGGGATACAGTCTATGGAAAGAAGAAACCGAGTGTCTCCAATGGTTAAACGCCAAGGCACCAAACTCTGTTATTTATGTGAATTTCGGCAGTCTAGCGGTGATGACACCTGAACACGTTATCGAGTTTGGTTGGGGACTTGCAAATAGCAAGCATCCCTTCCTGTGGATAATTAGGCCTGATCTTGTTGCCGGGGAAATAGCAATTTTGCCACCCGACTTTGTGGCCAACACCAAGGAAAGAGGTATGATAGTAAGTTGGTGCCCGCAAGAGAAAGTCCTTAACCACCCATCAGTTGGAGGGTTTTTAACACACAGCGGCTGGAACTCAACCATTGAGAGCTTGTCTGCCTGGAGTGCCTATGCTCTGTTGGCCACTCTTCGGCGACCAGCAGACAAACTGTTACTTCACTTGCAACGAATGGGGCAGTGGCATGGAAATCGATAGTAAAGTGAAGAGAGATGAAGTGGAGAAGCTTGTTAGAGAATTAATGGAGCGGGAGAAGGGCAAGAAAATGAAAAATAAGGCCATAGAGTGGAAGAAGCTTGCGGAGGAAGCCACCGGTCCGCATGGTTCTTCATCCAAAAACTTAGACAACTTGGTGAAGCAAGTGCTATTAAACAATAGCGATGTACTGCGCGACTAGATGCGCTTCGCTGAGGCTCCTGTACTCGGTTAGCAGCATCCTTATGAATAAACTGGAACATTATGCTTTTTTTGTGTTTGTTCCCCGCTTAATTTGTCTGTGAAAGTACTTGGATTTCCTGTGTTGGAGTTAATTGTTTAGAAGCTAGCACAAATTGGAGAAAATATACAGCGATACAGTACCACCAGCTGGCTTTGCTGAGTGGTAGTACCTGTCCACTAAAATTTTGCCATGTGTACAACAAATACACATAAGCTTAAGCTGTTCAAACCCACGTTATATAAAACCAAAATGCCATTTACTCCGACGTTAAAAACCGAAACGGAGGCTACACTGATCCTCTGCCATGGCAACGCCACCCAAAAGCTTGCTGGACCGACGACGGCGAGTCTACTGACCAAATACTTTATTTTTTGATCTGCCATCTTTGTGCAATTATATCTTCTAACATTGGATGACATGTCCCGATCCCAATATACCAGGATGGGCATGTGATGGCTGACACTTTAGGGTGACGAAGCCATACTAACCAGTATGCAAGTGCTATCGGTATAGAACATCCATAGTCACATCAATGATGTACTCAACTAGGGGTATTATAGTAACCATCACCTGAAGGTGAAGCTGTACAACATTGGGTTACAACAGTGAAGAAACATGGTAGGCCTCATCACCCGAAGGTGAAGCTATACGACTTTGGGTTACACCAGAGAAGAAATATATATATAATATAACACACCGACACTAGCCATGGCTAGTGAAGCTGTTCGACATTGATTTCGCCAATGAAGCTGGGAGTATGTCATAAATATCCTTAAATGTGTCCTATAGCCATAAACATATACATACTCAGGTTGTGTGTGTGAGATGTATGAATACCCACTAATTAAGCACAAAAAACATAAATCACATTTCTTGTAACAAATCATCAAGGCTCAAAAGGTCAAAGCATCATCTCATAAACCATAATAAATCAATCATGTGAAATCATAAATTCATATTCGTGTATGCATCATATATTGTAAAGCGTAAAAAGCCATCTTTGTAACCGTATATTCAATAAATCGTAAATAAATCATAAATAATGCATAAAACGTAATATCATGAAAACATGCTTTTCATGAATGCAAGCCTAGCATTTAATAAAATAATGCAATTTAAGAAGGTGTCCACTCACAGGTACTCCGTCACCGAGGAGTTGTTTGAACTAAGGAGGATGGGATTGCCACTAACAACCCACCTAAGCACATAAAGGGACCAATTAGTAAAACCTTACTAAAACGATTGAATTTGAGAAAACGGATGTCGGATTCTGATTCGGAACGTTGAAAAATCTAAGGAGGGACTTCAGGTTCCCCTGCGCGTCACCATGCGCCAATTTGGGTCGCTAGAAAATTGGCCGGAAAAGTCACCAGTGCCGCCATGGATGGCGGCAGAGCACAGTACCTTCGATGGAGGCACGTGTGCTCTATGCACTAGGTACTACAACACCATGCGCAACCCATGTGCCCGCGAGTATGCTGTATCGCGAGGCCTCAAACTGGCCGAATTCTAGGCTATTTTTCTAAAGCTCCGTTCAAGCTCATTTCTCCATAAAAAACAATGTTCTACATGTGGAAATGAAGCTGGGAATGAGGAGAATAGATTCGTACCAAACAGAGATCGAGTGGTGGCTAAAGTTGGCCGGAAAATGCCTGCAAAAGTAGGTTCATTCATTGAAAAACTGGGGAAGGTTCCCCCAAGCTATTTATGCTTCCAACATGAGAGTATAACTTAAAAACTACCCTAATCTAACCTTAAAACACAATCTAAAGGGTTCTAGGCACTTAACTGTGTCGGGGATAGTGAGAACTTGTTGTGGGTTCGTCAGGGAAGACAATGAACAATAATCTCTGCCATTATCAGAGTTCTGGGACATTGGCCTGGGGTTGAGATGGCGAGAATTAGATGGTGGTGATGGTGGTCCACCGACGCGAATTGTGGTGGAGTTGTTGCTGTCATTGTTTGTTTGTGTGCATGCATCCGTGCCTCGAAGAGGAGAGAAGAATGCAGAGATGAGAGGGAGAGAGACAAGGAGAGAGAGAGTTCATCGGGGAGAGAAATGAGAGGAAAGAGAGGGAAAAAGAGAGAAAAACAAGGAGAGAACCGGGGGGGCCAAAAATCAAGGCACTACTACGAAACCATTTATTAGTGTCACTATAATAACCGACAAGAAATGTATATTACTGTCGGATTTTAAGCAAAATTCGACAGAAAAAGGATGTACTGGTGGATATAATAAGCGACAGAATTGCAGGCATCAGGAAATGAATTTTTAGACCGAAAATACTCTAAAACCGACAGAAATTGTGTCAGATATAACTGACAGAGTTTTTATTAATAATGAATGAATAAAAGTATTATCTGTCAGATAAAACCAACAAAAAAAATATTAATAATAAGAAAAATATAAACCACTTATGAATCATTTCTTTCCCTATCAAGTTGGCCTCCCCTGCATTCATTGCATTTTCCAAAGAACGGATCTCGAGTATTCCTGCAACAAGACAACCAACGAATAGATCCGTGAGCACCCTACAAAACTACCCCCAAACTTTATCATTCTTGCAAATCAACAGATTTTCGACATGCAAAACCAACACAGTCAACTGAGAGCATGAATCTTTAATTTGGATTTTGATCCATGTTTTGTCTCTCTTGCGTAATGTCGTCTCCAAGCTTTGGAGTCTACTCTTGTGCATACATTAGAACACGGATGGGTGTAAAAATCACAGCACATGATTTGATGATTATGTTTTATGAA